TTAAACAATAATATGAATTTTTAATTATTTAATTATGTATTTTCTGTTAAAGTTTTCTGGCAAGTCTGTAATTTTTATGGATGAACCAAATGGTTTACATCGCTTTTCTTTCCATAACACTAATTCTACATTTCGAGTTCAGAATTTTACACCGTTGTTTATTTGTTACATATAGAAATCTAAATCATACAAACACATTTTTAAATCAGAATTTTTAATTTTGTTTTTAGTAAAATATGAAGTTATTGTTATTATAATAAATTAAGGCAACTTAGCATTTAAACTTTTTATTAGGATGAAAGTTCTGAATATTAATTTAAAAAAATCTTTTTTGATAAAAGGAAAGCAACTTATTGAATTGAACATCTGGATGAAACTTTTTTAAATTGAAAAGTAAAAAAATAAAAATAAACAGTTTTATAGTAAATATAAAAAATATTAAAATAAATACTAATTATTTGAAGTTTTTCATTTAAAAGATTTAAATCAGTTTTTTATTTAAATAATAAAACATAATAATTACATATAACTTTTAATTAAATTATTTATAATATATATTAATTAAAATCATATATAAGATATATAAATAGAGAAATCTCTTTATAACGACCACCACTAAAACCACCTCCTTTCTTACGTCGGCAAAATTAGGATCGAACTGTGTCCATATATACAAATTATATTATAGTATTAAATAACAACTAAAGAATGTTGTCTCCATCTATTATCAAATGGATAATTGTTTTTAACTGTACATGCCAACATAACGATATGGTATGCTTAAGGCCAAAAGGTTTTAAAGAACCATTACTCTGCGTTAACAACATAATTGCGAATAATTTTAATGAATATTTGACTGGATCATTTAAAGAATTCCCGAACATTTCCACTACAGCTTCTACTACTACAAATAATAATAATATTTCTGCTAATAATAATACAAATAATAATTATATATTATATGAAAATCTTTTTAAACTATTAATTATTTTCAATCAAGTAAAATTCTATAACTATGTGTAACTTTTTTTTTATATTTTAGGTTATAATCATTATATTGGTGTTTTATATTATATTTAAAATTAAAAAATTCAATAATCGACAAAAACAAAAAACAGGTACATTTATTTTTCTTGAAATATTTAAATATTTATTAGAAATAACGGCTCCTTTCAAGGCTGCGCATAAGTTATGCCGTCCTATTAATCCTCCACCTAAACCACCCACAATTAAAGAAAAGTTTGAAGAAATAGAATTAAATTAAATTTTTAATATAAAAAATATTTTTAATCAATATTTTATAATATTTTTAATCAAAATTTTTATCCATTCAAAATAAAAATTAAAATGTGAAAAATTAAGTTAATTGGACAGTTTTTTTAATTAATGAGGTTATTTTAATTAATTAATTAATTAATGAGGTTATTTTTTTATTTGTGGTTATTATAAGCTTGTTATTATAAGAACTTAATGTCGTATTTAATTATAAATTAAGTGTTAAAAATAATTTTAAATAAGCCTAAATAATAATAAAAGGAACTTAACCCCTTCCAAATATTACAAAATTCTAATTAGCGATTATTGAAAAGACGGCGTGTTAAATGTACCTTTTCATATGTAGGCCCTTCTTTCTTACATATAGGGCAAATATTCAACCATTCTCCAGCGGATCTCTTACAATCTATACAAAATAAAAGATGACCGCACTCATATAAAGATTGCGGCTGTGCTGACATACATCCCAAGCATTGTGATGCTGGAAATGTACGTATCCAGCGCAATTGTCCTATAATTAAATGTTCTTTAACCAAAAAATCTAGAAAATCGAACCATTCTCTGAAAAAACAGCTACGTGCTCCTGACTTAAACCGTTAGCAATTAGTGGTTGCAACTCTGTAAGATGTGTCTCAAAATGGGTAGGATTTTCAGTAACTCCACTCACAGATTGTAGTGGAGTTAAATTTTCATCATTAAACACATAAACTTAAAATTGATTAACAAAAGATTTCATTATTATTACAAAGAACGTAATAGTTAGGCTAACCATTTTGAGCTTTTTTGCTTGACATATAATCTATTATATATCATACGAAGGAGCTCTCTAGGCTACGTCGAATGATACAAAGTCGGCTAACTTTGATAATTTAAAAGTGAAAAATTAAATCAGATTATATGATTTTAGTTTTAACCGACTCAACTCAAATAGTATTTTCAAATGATAATAATTTGCCATAAAAATAGAAAAGTACAAAAGGGATGGTAAGCCAAAGTATTACTAAAATTCCACCTGATTGTGATATTTCTCTTGAAGTTTCAAGTTGTTGACGTGAAGTTCCTGGTCGTGGAGATAAATTTCCATTATTATTAACCACATTTGACTCGTCATAGTTAGCAGAGGTGGGTCTGAACAGTCAGAGGTGTAGGAAATCGGAACTGCCGGAAATCGGAAATGGCTCAAAAGCCGGAAATCGGAAATCAATTTTTTTCGGAAATCGGAAGGAAAAAAACGCCGGAAATCGGAAATGGCTCAAAAGTCGGAAATCGGAAATCAATTTTTTTCGGAAATCGAAAGGAAAAAAACGCCGGAAATCGGAAATGGCTCAAAAGTCGGAAATCGGAAATCAATTTTTTTCGGAAATCGAAAGGAAAAAAACGCCGGAAATCGGAAGGCGGAAATCGGAATTCCGACCCACCTCTGATAGTTAGGAAGATTTCTGCGCCTTTTTTGCAGAAATTCACGATGTGCAGTGCTTTTTTTAACATTCTAATATAAATTATTACATATACATTAAAATTAGTTAGAACCTCTAAAGTTCGAACGCGTCGCTCCAAAATCTCATTATCATATGCGAGCCAGTCAGTAAGATTTCTTAGATAACAAATCTCACTCTTGAATTCATGATGCTCTCTCAGGAGCCTCTCAAAATCGCACACAAAAATACTAGACATTTTATTAAATTATTAAAATTTTTAATAATTTTGAAAGTTAGAATGAAATAATGAAAACAATATTTATGGTCCAATAATTAATTTTATATAAAACGGTTACACTACTCAAATTTTTGCCAATTATACACAAATCTGCAAAATATAGAAAATCCAAGAGATAATGACTAGAGGCGGATCCTTGTAATAATATTTGTAGTCTGGTAATTATAAAATTATTTGAAAATATAATAGAATTAGAACAATCTTTTTTACTTTTTTTTATTATTTATGGTCCAATAATCTACGTTAAAAATTTTACATAAAAATACAAGTAATTGTTCAGTGATCTAAAAATTTGTAAATAAGAGTAAATTTCACGAGAAAGGGAAACGAGTCGCAAGTAGTAATAATAAAAGAAAGGACCATAATTATTATAACGTAATAAAAATTTTATAAAATTTTGAGTTGGCTCGAGATTGGCAAAATTGAAGACACTGACGATCAATTATTGTTGTAGATTTTTGATAAATATATACATAATTTTGAGTTTTTAAAATATTTTTCAAATTTAACCACGCCTATTTATTGAAGTATAAATATCAAAAAAAGTAGAAGTTATTCAGTTTTGATATAAAATGAATCCGGAAATTTCAATCCCCGAAAACCCTGTTAATAATGTCTTCAACCAAAACTTGTGGAAGCTAGTTAAACTCAAGTATATACTTCAGTTTTACTTTTGTAAAGATTGTAGAGATAAATTGTTTCAATCAGATGATAAATTAGTACGAAGCGAATCTGGTGTCACTGTCAAATTTAACTTATGTGAAGACTGCGTCACAAAAAATTGCCGAGCAACAGATGTTTTTAAATAATTGTAAAAATTTTTTTATATATTATATAATTAATATAAATATGTAACGATTGAATGACATTTTAAAAATTATTTTTTAATGTTCTAATGTATTTATAACTTTGTAAAATATATATATAAATTTAATAATTATTATATTATTATTAGAGAGAGGGGTAGTTGTATTTAATGAATAAAATTGAAGATTGTTAAAAAATTTAAGTTTGTTCACATGTTTTTGATTGATAACTATTTTTATTGAATTGTTTTTATCTTCTTTTGTAGTCCTAAGCCTTAGCTTTATAATCATACTAAAAATTAATAAAGAAAAGACCAAAAATTTTATGCCTTTAGAAGTGTGTAAGGTGAATATTATGTGACAGTTACAAACCCCATTATTACAAAGTAATAATGAAATATTTTTATTAAGAAAAATTAATTAATATTAATTAATAAAAATTAAATCAAAAATTAATAAAAAATCTTTTTTGACAAATTTAGCTCAAAAAACTTTTTCAAAAAAATTCGATTTGAGTAACATGACCAAACGCAAACTTGTGTCGGGAAAGCCACCGGCTGTAAACAAACACGTCCGTGCTCGTTGGGGGAGATAAAAACATCCAGATGTTTTTTTTTGTCAGAACTGTACCGTGGACATTGCAATAGCTTTGATTGAAAAATTAACAAAAAGAATAGGACACCGAACAATTGGGAAACAAAAAAAACAAGAGGAACTTTTCTTAGTCTTTAAAAAAGGGTTCGTGGAAATGAATTGTTTCCTAAGATGAATATGCTCAAATTACGATGGTAAAACTTTAAAAAATATTAGTACCCAATTTTTATCCACGCCCAATCATCCATCATCTTTAGCGTTAGGCTCAGTAATAAACGCTAATGTGGGGGAAAATACTCTTAATCTAAATTTCAACACAAAAAAATATATTTATTTTTCGTTTTAATTTAAAAAATACAATTGATTAAGAAAAGTGAACGATAAAAGCTGGAAAGGAAATTAAAGACTTAAAAGAAGTCCATGTGTGAAAAGGCTAGGAGTGATTAAAGGAAAAACTCTGGAAAAGGACTAACTGATGAAGAAAAACTGGAAAATATATATGTCGGTTGTGAGATAAAGTTTAAAGATAAAGAAAGTGTTTGTGTGGGAAAATATTGTGGAATTTAAAAATGATGATTAATTTTAATAAAGTATATTCTTAATTAATTTTTAACCTCGCGTTTGGGAACGCGACACTCCCGGGCCGCAGACTGAGAATGGTGGGACATTAATAAGTTGGAATGGCAATAAGGGAGTTGCGGGAGTTAAGATTGGTACTGGGTTAATTTGGATCGAATTAAGGGGAATGGGTTTCGAAATTGTAATTCTTTTGTGAATCCTTTTGTTTCTTGTTCTCTCCCATTTTTTTATCATATTCTTCTTTATCGTGTGTTCATTGATGGGCAGGGCTTCGATTTCACCAGTTTCCAGGATGCGCACTCGTGAGGCAATGTTGAGACGTTGTGGTAGTTTGAGCGCGGCCAAAGGTGGCGGACCATCGGGTAGAGGGATGTCGACGGCAGCAGGTTCGTCATTCGTTGTTTCATGAGTGGCAGCAGATGGTGAAGGCGGTTGAACACGTGGATGAGTCGGCGTTGTTTCTGTTGTTGGTGGTGCTGAGGATTCAGTTGTAGCAATGCCAATTGTTGGAGTCGGGTCACATTTCATGTTCGTGTCGGTTGATTGTGGAGGTTTTGGCCTGTTAGCTTTTAACGAATTTTTAAATTTTTTATTGAGAGGGGGTGTTTCAAAATATCGCTCGGAGCGCCCTCCGCCCCGGAATAAGGTTGGGTGGTTTTGGGCTTCCATAATGTGATTAGTACGGACAATGTTGTCCACGTGTTTATTTACTCTTATTTTATCAGTAATAGCTGGGTTTGGTTCGAAAGGGGTGTTTTGAACACAAAAATTAGTCATCGTGTTATTGTTAATTACCTTTTCTTGTGGAGAATGTGTTGGCTTAATGCTTAAATTTTGAGGGGGTATTAGGGAGGATGTGTACATGTTGTGATAAAAATAAGGGCTAAACCCGGGATATGGTTGGAAATTCTGGTAAGGGAGATACGGGACCGGTGTGTTGGAATTCGGGAATAATGGGGAAATTTGGTTAGTGTGTATTGGAGTGTATTTATTAGGGGCGGACGTGGATTGAATATTGTTAGTCTGTTGGTTACCTCTTTTCAAATTGGTAGGACATAATGGTCTGGGGTGGTTACCGTGGCATTGAGAGCATTGACTGGGCGAAGGACAGTTTTTAGCAAAGTGATTTGGCTTCAGGCACCTAAAACATCTTTTAAGGGCTCTGAGTCGGGAGTGTCTGGAATTTATATCTGAGAATTTTAAACAATTGGACGAAAAGTGTCCAACATCTTCGCAAAATAGACATGGTAATTTAGGACTAATAGCTGGTTTGGGAAATTTATAATGCTCACTCCTCTGAGTAGCAAACGTGAGTGAGGGAATCTGTAAATTAGAAAGATTTTGAGGGGTATAAGAGTCAGAAGGGGCCTGTGAAGGTGTAAGGAACTTGTTAATTTTGGGTGTTTTCTGTGGGGAATTAAGTTCTCTATTTTGTTCGCGTATAGCGCAGACCCCTAATTTACGTTTAAGTATGGTTTTTAAAACATTACGTAATTTATCCGTGCTCCAATTACCAGCTTCCTTGGCCTTGAGTATTTCTTCCAAAATTGGTGGGGGTAGTTTTCCTTCAATTTCCATTTGGGTAGAAAGCGTGTTGGCGTCAAAATTCTGTTCTAACATTTGTAAATAAATTATTTCGAACTCGTCGACAAATGTCGCGAGTTCTTTACATAAAATTTCAGGTCCGTGGTTGGAATGGACAGTTGGTAATTTTCGAAGGGAAATGTGTAAATTACGGTTTATTTCATCGGGTTGTCCGTAATTTTCTTTTAAAAGTCGAATGGCTTCGTTGTAAGAAGCATCAGTAAGCGGGAGAGATTTAACTAGTAACAGAGCCGGTCCACTTAAACATTCTTTCAAATAGGAAAATTTTACCGAATTAGAAATAGTGGTCAAATCGTGAACTCCGGCACAGAATGAGTTCCAAAAAGAGACATATTCAATACAATTGCCCGAAAATTTGGGAAGCGATATTTTCGGCAAATGCATATGTGATTGAGTGGGTTGGGAAGGGTCAGGTAAGGCGGAAATTAAATTTTGACGAGAAGCGCGAAGGGCTTTTTGATATTTTTTCAAGTTGGATAGTGTCGTCAAATAAGGAACAGTTTCTGTAAAAGCTTCATAAAGTGGGGTGTCCGCAATTCTCTCCGCGCCAGTCATGTTGCTTCTGACCGCCATCCAACGGTCGTGGTTTGATGAGATGTCCGTAATTGCTTCAGTCACGTTGTCTAATTCCAATTCTAGGGAGGGTATTAATTTGCGTATTTCTGAGTGGATTTTAGAGGGGCTCAAGTCATCCGGAGGGAGAGGGTAAATTTTTTGATTTTCAAGCAATAAAAGGCTGTCGGTATTTAAGATCTTGAGTTGATCACGATACGGGGCAGACATTTTGGGAGAAGAAAATGGAACTCGCGTTTAAAAATGTATTAAGTTAGAGATTATAAATAATGGGTCCGTTTGGCACAAATTTCCGCAGAACGCAAACAGAAATGGGGAAAGTCCGGTGGATCGGTAACTTATTTGTCACCGGCTGAGCTTTAGCGTTAGGCTCAGTAATAAACGCTAATGTGGGGGAAAATACTCTTAATCTAAATTTCAACACAAAAAAATATATTTATTTTTCGTTTTAATTTAAAAAATACAATTGATTAAGAAAAGTGAACGATAAAAGCTGGAAAGGAAATTAAAGACTTAAAAGAAGTCCATGTGTGAAAAGGCTAGGAGTGATTAAAGGAAAAACTCTGGAAAAGGACTAACTGATGAAGAAAAACTGGAAAATATATATGTCGGTTGTGAGATAAAGTTTAAAGATAAAGAAAGTGTTTGTGTGGGAAAATATTGTGGAATTTAAAAATGATGATTAATTTTAATAAAGTATATTCTTAATTAATTTTTAACCTCGCGTTTGGGAACGCGACACCTCGATCCGTTGATATGACTACATTTCCTTGAAAAATGACTAAAAATGAACTACTTTTTGTTAAAATTTGTTATAATTTTATTTTTAAAGAAAAATTTAAAAAATAATATTAATGAATAGAACAATAACCAAATTATCTAAAAATATTTAAATTAATTTTTCAGTCAAATTTTGATTTTTTATTAATTTTTAAAATAATTTCTATCCTGCTCAGCAGGGTTATTTATCTTCAGCTCTACTTCTCCTTTTTCATCTCTTCCCTATTTGTTAACCTCTTCTTATCTTCCCTATCTGTTAACGGCTCCAAAGACTTTACTCTCTAACCATTGGATTTGGCATCGCTCATTTTTCATTTCTCTCTGTTTTGGAGAAAAATCATAACGTCTTTTAAAATGGTGCTAAAAATTAAAAATTTCTGCCAAAATATACATCGGAGTATTAACTATAATTTACCAAAAAATCAAAAATTTTGTCCGATTTTTTAGAAAGTTATGAATTTTCTTGCAACGTACTACCTTTCCTTAAAAATTACTAAAAATGAACCATTTTTTTTGTTAAAATTTGGTATAATTTTATTTCTAATGAAAAAATTTCAAAAATAATATCAATAAATAGAACAATAAGCAAATTATCTAAAAATATTTAAATTGTAATTTTCTGTCAAATTTCGCTTTTTTTGATTTTTAAAATAATTCTATCCTGCTCAGCAGAGTTAAAACTTTACCCGCAGCTCTACTTCTCCTTTTTCCTCTTCCCTATTTTTGCGGCGCGAGCGCCTCTTTTTCCTCTTAATTACCTTATTCTGCTTTTCTTCTTCGTTTTCCTTTTACCTGCTGCGCCAAATAGACAAATAAGCGCAAAGAACTCGCTTTTTTAAATACCGCTCCAGGGCAATTTCGATTACCTCCTTCAACAGAGCTATCGAATATTCAATTACGCCCATTGTTGTCTTTAAAATAATGCTTCACCTCTATTAGAATAACACCATTTCACTTTAAACTCTTAACCGAAGACGTCAAGGTCGTGACAGCGGTGGGCTAGAACAGTACATTAGAAATAGGGTCAATTTTTTAATAAGGGTATTCATAAATTATTTCTTGCTTTAAAATTCAGGGCTATAATATTCAGTTTGATTTTTATCCATTTGATTTTGTTTGATATCTATTTTTTTCTCGAAAAAATTTTTTATTAGAAAACGAACACTTTTATGAACGACCTAGTATATTAAAACATACAATAAAAAAATTTGTTTTAATTATGTACTTTCTATCCATACAATTTGAAAATATGTATTTTATAAATAATCAAAATAATTTTTTAATTCTTGTCCTTATTAATTCTTTTCTTTTAGAAATTCAGAAAAATGTTAGAATACAAATATTCCATCCAGCACCCATTTTATTATTTAAATATGAAACATCAAGAGAATTAGCAAAAAAGACTTTGGAGAGGGGTTCCCCCGCAGCAGCAAAAACTCCCCGGATGCAATAGGTAAGGAGCTAAAATAAACGATCATAACTTTGTCTAACTTGTTAGATCTATTATTTTGATGAAATTGTTTATCGAAAAAATGTTAAAATAAACTTAATTATTTTTTCGTTTTTGAAAATTAATTTTAATTTTAAATTTTTCCCAAAAACCGCAAATTTTCTTTGATACAAATCATTTGAGTTATTTGGGACGACAACTGGCTAGACCTTTTCTACGATAGTTATTAACATCTCTTTAAATGATGAGAAGATTTAAAAATAATCTCAATTTTTGGCTTTAATAATTTTTATATTTTGATTAATTTCCTAAAAATCTGTTATTTTAAATTTAAAAAATATATTTATTTAAGGTTAGACTTTCTGATTCCTCCTTTCATGTTTTTTTGCAACAAAAACAACCACAACAGATCAATTTATTCCATTAGAAAATATTGAATGTGATGATGAAGCTATAAATTCACAGCCTAAAGAAATGCTTGAACATTGTATTAGTGAAAAAAAAACAAAATTTCGAATTAAATTAAAAGAAAAACAAAAAGGGATGTCAACAGCACCTTTTTGGATACGTAAAAAATGTAATCGGTTAGAAAATAAAAATTAAATTTTAAAAATATAAATCTGAAAAAAAAAAAAACTTTTTTAAAAATTATTTAAACATCAACATTTTACAGAGTCTTTCAATTCCCTTTTTTACATTTCTTAACAAATTTCAATTTCTTAATGCCCATATCTTCTCTAATATTTACAACCAAATTTTTAATTAATTATTGAAAATAAATTCACAAGTTATGGGTATTAGAAAATATTAAATTTAACACTTTTATAGCGAAAGTAAATTAATTAATTAATAGAGTAATTCAATTATTTTCCTTTCAAAATCTTTTAAAAAATTATTTTTTAAAGAACTGTTGGCTTATTGCCATTTACAACTGTAATTTATCTTTAGAATTATTATCTTTAAAAAGAAAACAAAGAAAAGATTTAGACTATACTCTTTCACATCCAAAGGTTTTTAAAAATAAAAATTTTTTAAATTAAAAATAAATTTTTTTCTAGGAATTTAATCCAATTTATACAAGTGGGGCTATTCAAATATTTTTAAGAAAGAAAGAAAATATTTATTTTTGATGGTGCTTAATATAATTATTGTATTAATTGCCTTTTCATCAATTACCGTATTTCCTATATTAGAGCCCCACCCTCTGTTAGAGCCCCACCCTCTAATACAGCCCCACTTTGGAGGATAGTTAAAAAATAGAGCCCCACCCTCAATTAGAGCCCCACCCCAAATAAAGCCCCACCTAAAAAATATTGGAGGAAAAATTATCCCAATAACTTTTTAGATGTATTAAGAGAGTTAAGGAAATAAAGGGGATGGATCTCGATGATATCGCGATCAAGAAGGAGGAGGGATCATAGGAATATAGAAATGAAAAGGAGGGGATAACTTCGATATCCGCCCAAATACTCTAGAATCGCCTATATTCCTCCAAATCCCTCCTATTATCTCCAATAAAATAAATTTATGAAGGGTTGCAATTTTTGAAGGGTTTCAATATGAAGGGTTGCAATCGTGTTAGGCACTTGGCGATAATTCGAGAGATTATTAAAGATCTATTAGAGATCTCGCTTATAATCAGTGATGAAGTTCCAAAATTTCTCCAAAATCGGTTCCAGTTCTGGAACTTGTTCAAAAGCTTCATCAAACAAAATCCCTTCATTTGCCTCCTAATACC